ACAGTCACTTGTTAATATATCAATTGAAAGTCTGTCAATTTTCTTTGTAATCTCAGCCCAAAACTACTTTTTAACTCACATATTTCCAAAATGTGAGTTACTCAATGACACCTCTTTTTATCTATAAATTGCTGTGATTTCTGTTTTGAGTGTGCCACAAGAAATTATGAAATCAACTTTCAACAGTCTGAGCTCAGTAAACACTGTTGTGATGAAACCAGAATATATCTGGATAAAAGACGTATTATTCTTCACTTCATGTAAATGGGTATATCTAATATAGCTTCTCTATACAATCTAATGATTTAATTTCAAAGTAACAATCACTTACACAAGTCTGTGGCATCAGACATGAATTTTCTCTTGAGATATTCTTTTTACTGATGGATCTTTTTAACTGTCCAGAAACTCCTTCACATCTTTCATTTTTTTCAGATCCATTTGGAATTACTTTAAAGAATTCAGATTTACTTCCAGTTGGAGAAAGAGAAAGGGTAGGCTTTAAGCTTCTCTGAGAGCTAATAGAATCTGTTTTTCTCGTAGTGGAACTCTGTAGTTCTGATATGATGGTCTCTTCAAGGTTATGTGTGCTGTGTCCCTTATTCTTCCAGTATTCACTTCTCCATGACATCCTCTTTAATGGGATCTGTTTAAAAACTGCTGGATCAGATGTTCCTTGCCTGCTGTGGCTGATCTCAATGTTCTCAGTACCCTGGATGAGTTCACTGTTGTCATCCTAAATGTCGGAAACAAAGCAAGAGTGATTCCCTCTCATCACCACCCAATACAGTTTTACCTTAACATTTCAAAACGCAATCACTGCTGCCTAATTCTAAATTTGCAAGGACTCTGAAAACCAGTTTCTCTTCCTGGCAATTACACTGAACATATTCTTATATTTCAAGCAGTGAAAAGTAGAAAGAGGAGGAAAGGGAGGGAGGCAAGGTTACACTTTTCTGTCAGCCCAAATTTAGAATACTGGTAACCTCCCAAACCTGTGTTACATGATAATCATAATTTCAGTAAAATTTATTACAACTGTAAACCGAAAGTAAGCAAAACCTTCACAAGAATTACGTCTTTCCATTGAATAATTAATATTCTATATTTTCACATCGCTTCTTCAACTTCAGTGTAGATGGAATAACTCCTGCCGAGACCACCTTGCTCACTTCTGGTAATATAACTGAATATCATACTCAGTCTATTTAAATACATTTAAGAATTTTGGAGGTTTGCTTGTTAATCTTATACTTGTGCTTCCAACAATGTCTTTGAAAAATACCCCAATAACCAAGTGTATGATGTTCACTCACACCCCATTAACTGTAATTTTAAAATTCATTATTAACTTTAATTCATAAAAAACCCAAGTAAAATTTTTGGACTTTTTACAAGTTGTGATATTTAAACAAAGGTATGCAAAATCATCTTTTTTTTTCTTTTAAATTAAAACTAAGTTTTACTTCTATTTTCCAGGAGAAAGGCAAGTTATGCTCACACACAATTATTTAAATTGTAGGTTGAGATATCTATCTCATTTGATATAGTTCAAGAACGTGTACATATCCATGTGTTATACACAAACACAAGGTATTTGAATTTCAAGGAAAGCTGTAATACAATGATCATGAGAAACAATACTAGTGTGAAAGCCTGTAACAATGAAGCTTATTTCAGCATGTAAGATTAACATATATTTTTAAAAAGCATTGCAAGATTCGGCACAACTTAGTCAAATATTTTGTGATATAGATAAACTGGGAAACATTAGGGTTGGGCTAAAGAATTTTAGCAATTTTTCAAAGACACCTGAAACTGTGCTACACAGATATTAAGTTAGCAGTCTTATGTTCAGCTATCACGGCTTTTCCAGGATCCTCTTTCATGTATTTTCAGGGCTGAAATAAAACTGGTTTTTAGTTAATTTCAGTAATGCAAAGTGAAGCAATCTGAATATTGCATGTGTATCCAGACTATCAGTATAAAGCTGACTTCAAGAAGCAACACAGAGTGTATCTGTACAAGGAAGAAGATGAATATGGGCAAAATATGACTGCTAAGTAATTTGTTGGTTCAGTGACTTCTTTCACGTGAAAGAAAGGCTTAACTATGAATTGGTAATGTAGCAGTTAGACTGAGAAAAACTCTTCATAATTTGTTAGCATGCTGTAATTTGTTTAATGTAATTATCTTCTAGCTTTGTAAGTTTAATACACCTCCAGCTGCAGTGCCGATACTGTTCAATGCAGTTTGCATCCAAAGATAACGAATGAAACAAAGGCTATTCCCTAGCACACCTCTGGCACATAGTCAAAGGAGAGTTTTTAGTTTATATAATACCTTAAATCTTTGTAAAGAAGACAGGAATCTTCTAACAGCCTCTCTTGCATCGAGCCTCTAGAATGGCCATTAACGTTGTGCCCCAATGTTCTTGTGCTGTAAAAGCAGAACTACACGGCTACTGCTTTCTCTTTGTGTGCTTGGCACTGGATCTCTGGGGTTGGGTGATGGCATGGAAGGTTAGCTGTCTTCTTCAATAAAGGCTTAAGCACCAAAGTTTAATGATTAATTTGGTTTTTGATTAATTTATATAAATTTGTGTTGCGTTACAGTTCATCAGTTTGGTACGCACTGTATTTTGAAAGACACCTTATTTTCACTCTTCCTAGCACAGCCTTTACTGTTTGGTACTTCTTCAGAAATTTTCATTTGCCATTTTTACACTGCTCTGGAGACATATCTTTATGAATGACTTTAACACCCAATCCCTCCAAAAAAAAGCAATCAAATTGGAAACTACTGAGTAAATGATAGTGCTGGAATCCTTCTATAATTTTTATGTGAAATATTATGGAAATATTTTCTTAACCTAGCTTCTACAGTAACTTCTCTGGCTTTTCTTGAGCATAACAGACAAAGAAATTCTTTGAAACTCAAACTGTTCTTCATCTTCAGAATGGTATCCCATATAGCACTGCTCATGAACTAATAGCTTGACTAAAACCGATTTGATTCTGAAATTCTGGAACCTTGTTTGAAATAATATGGGTTAACAAATAATACACTGCCTCACATAACGGGACACCCTTCCGCCCCTCAACTACAGAAGAAAAACTGGCACAATTTTGATTTCTTGTAATTAGCATCAGCAATTTTTCTCAGAAATATAGATCAGTATTTCTGTGAAGTTCAGTCCATTTTGCTATTATGTAACTTGGTTGCATTTTAGTCTCTGCTATGAGCAACAGATTAGAATGTTAAGAAACAGATTTTATTATTACAAATGAAGTACACTAGAATGTTCATAAAGATAGAAACTTCTGGCAGTCACGACATAATGCACAAACAATTTGGTGAATTTCTATATAGTATCATAATACTTCTGTTAAAAAACATTTGTTTTATTAGTTTTATTGCTGAAAGAGTTCCACATTGCAAAAGAATGATGCTGACACAGCTCAGACAGGATATAAAGCAGAAATATCAATCATCAAGTGACATTAAAAAGCTGAAATTTCTTAATTCACTTTTGACAGTGTTGGTGAGCAGAACAGTCCCTGTTTACAGTTTTAAAAGCCACAATGAAGCCTTACTTACTGCACTCCCGCTCAATCATAATGGGTTTACATCTCACTCAAATCTATGAAGCAGGCTTTCCTAAAATCTTTTTTGTTGTTAATGATGTACTATACTCACATCTCTGTGTTAGCATACGGGCTGACAGAGTTAGGTTTCTTGTGTCCACTCGTTACAGAGGGTATACCTGCATTTTCACTCCTGTATCCAGTTAAACACAGCAAACTGACAAAGACAAATCTACCTGAAGGTATATGGGGAAAAGATGATTTATCCTCTCTGTCTAGCTTGAAGACAGAATCTCATTCTAGGAGTTTTAGGATGAAGACTGCTTTATCAAGAATTACATGTACAAAGTGGCCTACCTCTTCACCGCTGTCAGTTCCTTGAAAGTTATCTTCAATTTGGGTTTTCCCATGTACTCTGTTACTGTCTTGCTTCAAATCCAAAGGGAAAATGCAACATTCTGGTGACATATTTGGAGACTTCCCATGAGAAGCTGATTGAGGTTGTGATGCAAATGGGAAAATCTCTTTATTATTCACTTGGTGATCAACCGTTTCATTGCTGTGATGTTCAACAGAGGCATTTTGAGGTGACTTTAAATTATGACAGGCTGAATTTTCAGTAGGTACGAACTGCTCACTCCTATCCAACTGAATCATCTCAGCGAAACTTTCCGGAAACACCCATTCATCTGAAACATACAATGTTTATTTTAATGCCAAATATGTAAATTGTATTTCACCTTGATCACACTTTTTCTCTGGAAGTTGTACAGCAATGTAAGTTTTTCTAATACAGAAACATCCCGCTTATCAGATTTATACAGTTGGAAGAGTGATGAAGATGCAACGACAAAGATCAGGCTGCTTTCTAAGCGAGGCAACATTAATAAAAATATTTCTAGATCACAGCTAAAAAAATCCGCAGGTCATGATATATGACATGCAAGCCTGCAATTTGCAAATCTGAAACTATTTAGCTGTTAAGATTTGAAACTGTTCAACTGAATTTCATTCTAGGAAAACATAATTTTATTAAATTTGGCTATTAATCTTTTTCTATAAGCACAGAAACGTGGAATCATTTAGGTTGGAAAAGACCTTCAAGATCATCGAGTCCAATCATTAACCTAACACTGCTAACTCCACCACAAAACCACGTCCCTACATGCCACATCTACAGACATTTTTTGTGGCTGACATCTAAAAAATAATAATCGCACATAGTTGATGGAACGTTCATAATATTTCAATCTGCTCCTTCTTTATTTCTGAAATTCTACACTTGCTTTTATGTCTAAAACTTGTGGTTTAAATCTCAATTTCAGACTACAGCTCTGATGAAAAATAGCGTGACATGAAAAATGTATGAAGATATCTGTTTCACCAAGTTTCCCTGAATACAGGCAGTACTAATCTGCCAATTATAAAACAAACAATAAACTACAGAAATAGATTTAGAGATTGAGTGCACCAGATAAACATGAAAACGCCATTTTTATACTCTCATTGTTAACTTATATTTTACTGTTTGGAATGATGGTATAGAAAAAAATGTCAATTTGATTGATTAAAACCAATCTCAAACAGCATCTGAGAAAAGGAGAATTGCTCAAGTATGCAATACTCCCTTATCTTCATTAAAGGTAGTGTGGTGTGGATTATTCACTAGATCTTGAAACTTTCTGGCTCCATAAAACAAAGTTACTATCAACCATATTAAAAAAGACTCAATAAAAAATACTAAAAATATAATAATAAAGTAGCACTGCAATAATAAAATGCTTGCTGTCACAGAAGACAGTATGTTTACTATGGTATTCTACTCTTTTTATTTTTTTTTAGAGATAATTATTACTTCAAGCAGATTCAGCAGCTCTGGGGGGGAAAAAAGTAAATCTGAACCACTGTAAGTGAAGGCAAAAGAAAGAAGAATCGGAATGCCAGGAGGAACAGCTGTCTTCTTACCGAGTTGCTGTGATTTTTCCAGTTTACTGGAGACAGCTAGTGGAGCTACTAAATTGCAGTTCATATCCTAAACAGTAGTTTGTACTAGGAACCAGTGAAAAGTAGGGACTTAACGCATCTTGTACATTCATGGCTTGCACCAAATTCTTCCAGAAGAGACTATTTTTCAGTCTCCACATGAAGACTAGCTAGAGTTAGAAACCTCAAGGCTTTTCAAATAAACTCTTTTTATATTAGATACTCATGCTGGTTTAAAACAATCTAGTAGATCATTGTCTATTGTACATAAAGTCTATTTTGTAATTATACAGAAATCTCACCTTGCCTTTTATTAGGATTATTTATTTTACAAATATTTTGGACTAGTTTCTTCAAGAGCCTGACGAAATGAGTGAGACTATTCAAAGGTTTTAAGAACCACCCTTAATTTGTGTAAACCAAATGATCTTTTGTTCTGATCAGAAATAAAAAGTTTTTCCAAAGGAGGATACTGGATACTAGAGCAGAATCCTCCTGTCTTTGATCACTCAAGATTGTGTCACACTCCTCTGATCACATATTTTTCTTAGTCAGGCAATTGGAATTACGTGTTAAAGGTTCTACGCAAATAAAACAACTGAAACTATAAGAAAACCCACTAATTTTCTGTCTGCAGTTTTCCAGTATTAATCACGAACTCGTTTCACAGTTTTTGTGCTTTCATTGTATTTTAATATCTATATAATCTGCATTTTTGAAGTAATCATTTCCCCTATGAAAATGAAATAAAAGATGGATCTTCTCATTAATTTTTCACATGAAGCTGAATGTGAATCCACATTAGGATGCTTGAGAGCAAAGACTAAGGAATTTTTTTTTCCAACAGATTTTGTGACCTAACATGATTAAAAAACTATCTTGCACTAAATCAGTATTTTAAAGTACCCAATTATTTGTCGAATAGGAATTTGGCCCACCAAGCCTGAAACTGTGTGAATGTCTTTGGCCCTGGAGATGCTGCCCCATCTGCAACTCCAGATAGTGCTATGTAGAAATGCCACAAAAATGTTACTTATCCCTAAACTTCTACTGGCTGCACAACTCTCTTGTACGTAAAGAGATCTCTTCCCCAGCTATTCTGGACACAAAGTCTGAAATGCTCTTAACTCTTTTTTTCTAAGGTAATGATATTGAAATTTTCAACTTGCTGCATTTTCTAAAAAAAAAAAAAAATATCTTGAAAACTTACCTAGATAAGAAAATTTTTGGATTTTTTTAAGTTTTTCCTATCTCAGCACTCTGCCGTCTTCCGACCAGTCTGGCACCCACCCTTCCACAGTCTAGACATGTTTTACTAGGTTTTAATGACAGTGGCTTGACTAAGACCAAGATGTATAACATACTTCTACAGTATTCAGAAAGCCTTTTACCCCATCATGAAATTAAATTTGACACGTATCATGCTGGTCTTTGCAGTTTTTAAATATGCACTAATAGCTCAGATCACTATAACGAGCCCTCTGTGGTATGGTTATACATTTAGTGTACAACCTACTTCATGAGAATCTGCTAATTTTTATGCACAAAGGACTGTGAATGAGTAGAGAGGGAGTGGCTTAATTTTTATTATGGTCTACTGACTTAATAACAACCAACTTCCCTAGCTACAGTCTCACCTGTTCTGTTCTCATTCTACAATGACTTCTATTGTAGTTGTTGCTGTTTAATTTGCAGAGGTCATTGCAGATAAAATTTTATAATGAATTCTGAAGCAAAAAAAGGTGTAAACCACTTCTTTTTGTGATTTGAAGTAAATTTCGGATTAAGTATCAAATTACATAAAAGAAATCTTAAGTTAACAGTTTTAGTCAAGTGCTTGGAGAAGGCAGTTAAAAGCTCAAACTCCTGACACAGACATCCAAAAACTTCTTATATATCACTCACCAATGCGAGTAAGGTAATGTCTTCACCCAGATCAAAAGTACTTCAGAAATATAAAGAACTACTTTACAAGGTTTAGCATCTGTATAATATTTAGCCTGAATATTCTGCTTTTTTAGTCCAACCTTCTCTGTAAAGAACATTAGTTTCCAGAGATGTTGGGTTAGTAATAAGTTAAATGCAAATATTAGTTTCTATACCACAGTACTTACTCTTAATGAATATGCAGAGGGAAGACGGAAAAGTCTGTAATGCTTTAAGATGATATTTTACACTGGCTACGGAGTTCAGCAACTTCTGTAACCCGTAGTCATTGTAGCATTGTATTAACAGTCTACAAGCGAAAGATATGGGGCGTTTTGGACCAGACAAAATCCCAGTATCTCTCCACCACAAACTATACTGGAATTTCTTCTTTAACTCAGCATTTCCACGTCAATTGTAATGAAAAATTTGGAGTATCTTCTTAGCAAAATATGCAAATTACTATGTAATCACAACATAGCAGCAAACAAGATAAATGCAAGAATGATCACCTAAACATCTAATTAGTTCTTCTACAAAGTCAGACTTATGCTAAAGCTTCTAATTGCAGCCTAACATTTTAATGAAGGTTTCAGCATTGCATAAATAAGATTTGCAAACTATTAACAATACTCACTCATTTTATTTTTTCCCTTGCTTAAAAACAGTTTACCTTTGTAAACGTACTGCACACCTGCTACAAAAGACATGCTGATTTGACTTCTATAATAAATCTAAAAGATATTATTATAAATAGCAGCGACTAACCTGTAAGGTAATAAGAGCAACCACTTACGAATGCTCCCCTCCCCCCATGAAATTTAAATTAATATTTCCTCATGCTAATGGCAGAACAAGTGTAGCACTGTCCTAAGATCACCATAGGATATGCTTGCACAAGGCTCAAGAATTCTAAATGCTTGGTGATAAGAAAAGAGTAGTGCATGACAGATTCTTGTTGATAAAACTTGTTTTGAGAGCAGTATAAATGTGGAGCCAGAAACCACACTTCTGAATTTACAGTAGGGCATTTAGTCATGCCAGTCTACTGTCCTAAGTTTTGCCTTTTCATATGACTTATATTTACATAAAGTAGCAAGTGTTAACTTGTTTTTCTGAAATTCTAGTACTAGATAGAGGCCCTGGCATTCTAGATGAAGAACAAGACAGTGATTCCTGTCTCAGAACTCTCAAAATTCAGGAAAACAGAAAATTCAGGTAAAAAGAAAATGGAAGTAATTTAAAAATTCTGCAGAAGGCTCTACTTGCCTTAGCATCTTGCATCCATTTCAAACTATAAAACCCATAACAGCAATTATGCATTACTGACATTGTCATAGTATGTAATTGCTTCTAAACATCCCAAAGATTAAGCAAAATGGAAATAACTCACAATGTGAAGGAAAATCTCTTAGGTCAATTTTGAGCAGATTTGAGTAGTCTGCCCACTTTATAAGTTGGCTGCTATGCCTTTTAGCAGAAAGTAACACTAGTTTTTCATAGAAACAAGTGCTATTTTTGCCACAATAATGTACTTTCCAGACACACACAAACCAAGCTGATTGACATAGTATGACAAAAAATATCCACACTTTTTGGCAGATAGGTGTGAAAGGGAAACAAACATACACTGAGGTGTCTTCATGTGAATAAGCAAATAAAAAACAAAATTCACCACTGAACTTTAAAAGCAAAACTAAAAAACCCTGATATTACGTGGGTACCATAATTAATATCCTAAACTCTTATCTGGGACAAGTAATATTTCTCATACATTTGATGTTTTGAGTCTTTAGCGTTAAATTTAATAGGGATTTAAAGAATAAATTATTTTTAGTTTTTTCCTTTTAATCATAAGAGCATGGAATTTTTCTTTTTTTTTTTTATTCACTCATTGCTCTGGTACTCCGCTTAATCCCACAAATCTTTATCAACACTCAAAAGCAATTCTGTTGCAGGGTGTTTGATTTCCATAATCCCCCCATAACACAGGCATTTGTATTTTATGTGAACTGCTTCTGGGTCCTTTGATACTCACAACAGATAGTCCCCCATGACACACAACTGAGATGTAAAGTAATATAAAATGAGCACCATACCACTGGTTATCTCCCATGTGGTTTTGGCTGCATTTTTTAGAGATAATCTTCTATGACTCTTGTTGTCTACAGACGGTCCTTGTGGTGAGGCGAACGGAAAATTTGCTCTTCCACTCTCAGAGGTTTTCTGAGTCTGAACTGCAGGGTCTGAAATACAACCCAGAAGCTTATGAAATGCCTGTGAACACTCATATTGTGTGCTTTTCTCACTCAAGGCATGGGAAAGCAGCATACGGAACATTGTCCTGGGATAGAAACATCTTCCAAATAGCATGGGAATCTTGAAGGGCAGCGGGAATATGACAGTCACAAGAAAGTAAAAACTTAAGACTAGGTATGGAAGAAGGGCAAATCATAGAAGTTATAAAAGAAAAGGCTTGCCAAAGTCTGGAAAATAATCATAAACCACTGCAGCTGCCCAGTTATATACACAGCATGAGGGACAGCGGAATAAGTGTATAACCTGTGGCTGCTGCCAGCAGGTGGTGATCCCTGGCTCGAACACTTACAATACCTGCAGAGAGAATGAGCATTTATTCAAGCTCATACAGCAAAATAAGCTGCGATTTAATATAAATGTCTTCAGTAATTAACAAGGTAGATAAAGGATTAGAAAACCAGAGAATTAAGTCTTACATTCTCAAGTCAGAATCATGCAAAAATTTTGGCCGTTTGTAAACTCTTTACATATTCTTTTCTTCATGCTCTTACCATCTTGACATACATCCTTAGGTGTTTGGTGAACATTTCTTTTGCCTCCTTGATCGAAGGAATCATCGTACCGTGAGAATGATAGCTCCAATCTCTCAATGTCTTGCACGGATTCAGTTTCCTTTCCTGAACTTTGAAGTCGGCATGATCTATTACTTTTGCTGCCCCAGGTCTTTGTTACCTTGAAAGACATTATTTTTTCAATGAAAGATAAAAACGTAACAGCTTTCAAACTACTCAAAGGTTAACACACATTTTGCATTAGGATTATTTTTCAACTAAATGTTCCCCAATATTTTTTTTAATATTATATTTTTGGGAAACTTTATGGTAGGTACAGTTCTGCGTGATATCTTCAGTCTTCACAGTCTACTAGCAGGCAGGGGTTTTTTCAATGAATGAAAGGAAAACAAGGCAAAGACAAGGAGAAAAAAAAATTAAAATTCATTATGTGGCTAAATAGACAGTGAAACTTGTGGCTATTCTAGACCTCAGAAGGAGTCCTTTCTTCTTCGGACAGAGGAATCTCATTTTACATCTTAGCTTTCAACTGAGTTCCTACAGAAGAGTCTACTTGCTTTGGCTGAATCCTTTATTCATAGTGTTAAACAAAGAATTTTAGTCCTGATCAGATTCTTAAAACCCACATACCGTTTGCTGGCAGGGTGAGACCAGCTGTTTTCCCTGGCATTGTAATTGACAGCATCACATGAGCTACCATATGGCAGACTATCATTCACAGAGAACACACCAAAATGCAGAGTTTCTGCTCTGCATCACATTTGTCATCATAAGGAAAAAATAGTTACACAAACACACAAAAACTTCACCAGTGCAGAACAAAAAATTCAGAAAAATAAGATTGATAAGAAATCACAGAGTAATTTCAGTAGGAAGAGACCTGTGTAGGCCTAACGCTGAAATTAGATCAGCCTGTTCCAGTCAAGTTTTGCTATCTTTGAAACTGTTGAAATTCCGCAATCTGCCTGCGACCCTGTTCCAGTACTGAACCACTCTACTGTCACAGCCAGTCAGAGCTGCCCCGCAATTTGGGCCTGCTGCCTCTTGTCCTTTCACTGTGCACCTCTTAGATAAATTTCGGCCTGTCTCCTCTACAATCCTGCATTAGTTGAAAAAAGCAACTAGATTCTCCCTTAGCCTTCTCTTTTGTGGGCTGAACAAACCCATGTCATGTGCTGTAGCCACCCAAGCACTTTACTTGCCCTCCACTGGATGTTACGGTGTCTCTGGCACTGGGGGTCCATGACTGAATGCAGTACTCCAGACACCACCTCACATCAGTTCTGGAAGAAACCTTCCATGTGACTCCTCTGCTTGTCCACCTCTTCTTTTGTAGAAGCGGCAGCAATTTCATTGTAATTTAAGCCTTCTTACCTCTCCACGTATCCTTGTACTGACTCTTCTGTTTGAAGATGGAGGTGGCCCAAGGATCTTTGATCCAAATGCAATATGCGATACATCCCGAGTTTTACAGCTGAATATATTACCTTGTCCTCTATTAATCAAGCTACCTAAGTTAAGACAAATAATAGTTTTTTTTTTAAAAAATGACGGTACTTAGAAAGAATACTACTTTTTTCAAATCAACTGAAAAGAATTATGAAAACTAAACAAACATGAAAATTATGTTCCTTTATAGTACAATCCCTAGAAATATGTAGGAATAGCAAATGCACATTTTATAGAGTGTGTCAACATACAAGCAAGAAACTTTTGGTGTATCATATAGACATATTTCTAACCTCCTCCCATTAAAGACTTAATTAAAAAGGTTACTTATATGGAAAAAAAATTGTTTTGCATGATTTCTTTAGAACGTCAATGAAAATCTAGTTTGTGACAGGAAGAAAAAACAACTCTAATAACTAACAGAATAAATAAATAATAACACAAGAAAACTGAGGCAAGACTGTCAAGGCATCACTCACAGCTCAGAGAACTATTTATGTATAGCTTGCTTTTTGAAATTACTGAATCTACTGTATTACCAGGGCTGAGCCTTAATATCGCAAACATACTCTATTCCTGTAAAATGTTCTTCAGCATTCATTTTTTCTTTTTTAACAGTTTAAAGTGTAGCCATATTTTTATAATTCTTTTCAAGCACAGAAAATGCCAACCAGTCTGCAATACAAACAAAAAGTAAACATGGAATGCAGCTGAGAGAAATTTAAAAGGGAAAAACAATAAAATGGTTATATATTAATTTTATCAGCAGGGTTGCAGGACTGCATGTAATATCTGCATTCCTCTTTTTTGATTCTCCAAGCTTGTCAGTGAATTCTCCTTTCCACAGCTGATAAAAAGGGTATTTTCACATTAATTTATAGTTAAAATTTACAATTTCTGAAAATCTTTTTCTTGCTGCAACTTCAGTGTGAAATTGCACCTCACGTTTGGACCTGATACCTTCATAAAGTAATAAAGTAGAAACAAAACATTTTGCTGATTCTCGTAAGCATTTTTCATAGAATTATTTTATCTTAATTGAAGATCAATTTTATTTCCACTGTCACCAAGGAAATGAAAAAAGATCATGCATTATCCACCAAATATCATAATTTACTGTACTAATAAGCACAAAAGAAGCCATTTTCTGCCATTGCTGCCTTCCTTTTTTCCTGATGTGACATTTGGTTGCTGCTAACAGCTGCCATTTCATTAGATGATGCCATTAGATGACCTGTCTTGGTTTAACATCAATTTCTTTAATTGTTGACTACCTTGGGATGTTGTTAGCTCCAATTATAAAAGCTGATTTGCATTAAAATCTCTGTTTATGAACACATTAATTGACTGCAATTAATTACCTACATTTACACATAACAGTGTGTTGATGGAATAATGAAATAATATGTGTAATTAAAAGTGGATGAGACTAAAAACAATTTGGGCTTTTGACTATCACATAAAGTTTAGCAGATAAAAAGAACATTTTCCAACTGAAATGTACTTAAACATAGCAAAACTTCCATTTTCAAGAAGGCCAACTTCTGAAATTTGAAAAGTATGTCTGGAAGAACACCTGCTATGTTCATAAACTGGGATTAAAAATAAAGATTAAACCTTAAACTGAAGGCATATAATTTTCATGCAGGTCAGAGGGATGCTATCATTAATTATTTTATTCTATATACCTACAGGCTACATCTCTTTGTAGTCCAGATGGTAAAACCTGAGTCCTTTTAAATAAACATTCATTTTTCTTTTTAGATATATCATTCACACTTCCGTGCTCATTTAAGTTTTACAGTCTCTCATATTTTGACAAGCCAGCCAAGAAACATTGATTTTTGAATACAGTCACTGAGAAAATGAACTCCAGAGTTTCCTCTGCTAGTTCAAGAGCAAACTTATAATCAAACTTTGTGACAGAGCTTTGGCTTGACTACCTGTAGGGCAATAATACTGTAAAAATATTATTTGCCCCTTAATATTACAAAAACGGTACTTGCATGTAAGAAAAGCTGAATGTAATTTCAATAAGTAAATGTATGAACTGTCTTATTCTAAGCAAAAATTTTAAACCCCTCCTATTCATTTCAGCTGCTGTGGTAGGAAGACTGCCATTACTAATGAGGTATATCAAGAGAGAGCAAAAGTTAACAACTTGAAAAAGCATCAGTGTGGTAGCTTAGTGCAGCTGGTAAAATCTTTATGAGTTGTTTTTTTCATATTCCATTAAAAGCAGAAGAAATTTAAAAAATATTTCTTAAACCTTTCATATTATCAAGGTTGTTCTCAAAGAAATACTTTCAAAGTTAATTTTTCTTTACAGTTTCATGAGATGCTACGCCTTAAATACTATTGTTGGCTGTAACAGTCTTGCCTTTTACAGTATTAAACCTCAGTATTACACTGAAGTTTATTACTTTAAGGTATTAGACTTCATTCGCTGTAATTTATCTCATTCCTTTGGGCAATACTTTGCACATGTATTTCCAAAGCATTTAAACAGAATGGTGGAAATAATTATTCAATGAATTCAAACACTATAGATGAGAATCCTCAAGACTGAGAAAGTACTAAAAACAGTGGAATAAAAATGTATCTTCCTTACAGCACCACTTCTAACATTGCCTACATGGATGCAGATGTATTGGAAATGGATTCTTTCTCTAATTTGCTTGTTCAGATCCACTTCTAAGCTACTTCAGACCTACTTCCTTCTCAAAAGATGTTTTACTACCCTGTTTTATTATGACAAATCCATGACTCACAAAAGGTGGTACAGAATAAGGGGAAAATAGACATTGCTATTATTATGTGGGCCAAATTAAATGCTCCATCTTGTCTCTTGTACAGAAGCCAATAATAACATAACAAAAGAGTAGAGGAAAGCGGGTGCCTACGGAGAGAGATTTCACCTGTGTATTTTTCTAAGCTCTAGCAGTAAGAAGTTTACGTACTTCTCAAGTTTAAGCTGAAAATAACAACCAATTCAACATTTTAAAAGGGGTGAAATTATCAGTTCTCCATGAAGGACATGAATCAGGGTATACAAAATATTCTCATTTTAAAATCCATCAGAACTCTCTTTTTTAAGAAGTACTTGCACATACTCCAGGATATTTACTGTTGCAAATGGATCTACAAACTTAAAAAAAGACTAGACTAGTTATGTGCAAATAGATTTACAATAACAGTAATATCCTGGAAATAGGGAAAGTATATTTTTGACATCTTTACAATTCTAATCCATGAAATGTGCTACCAGTGAAAAATATGGGGTTTTTCCTACATTGATTTACTTCCTCATTGGAAATGCAGCTGATGTCTTCAAAACTCAACAACTGATTTTAAAAAAACCACTTTGTTCAACCAGAAACCCCCCCTCCATCAATAACTGAAAATTTTATTTCATTCTTTACATACTTACCTTAAGTTATATTTTAAAGACCACTACTGTTTATGAGTAATTTGAAAACTACAGAGTTCCATTATTGAACACAACCTATGTCTCTTATTCTATTACTGTTATTTAGTGTCAATCTAGCTCATTACAAAATTGTTTTAAATTATTTTGAATCAAAAAATTAGGGACTGTAATGACATTTGCCTTAGTGAAATCGTGCTACTGACTTTACTGCAAGTAGAAAGCAATATGCAGTTTTAAAGTAAAATAGAAGGTTTAGGAAAAAGCAGTCCATTGTCTGACCTGAGTCTATTTAAGCAATTTTACATTCGAATCTTGGTATTTGCTTCTACAGTTCAGTTTCCACTGATTCTTGGCTTACAAATCTTACGCAGACAGACATGCCCACTTCAACATAAAAACACAGGAAGTGCTGTTGTAGAACAGGCCAATAATCTGTTTAACATTCAGTTTCAAACAATGGCCAAACCCAAATGCTTCAGAAATGGCACAAGACAATTTCATCAGGAAATTATGAAATAATCTGACTTCAATTCTTAGAGTAAGCTTGCAAAAACCTAGAAGTACAAGATTAAATTTTCCCTTCACACGTTTACTGCTGCTAAATAAAACAACATGGGCATTACTCTTACCCATATAAATGGCCAACTGATTTTGAAATCATACAAATTTCTTTGCGAGCTTATTGTAGCAGTGGATTCCATATTTCAATCCTGTTCTGCGTAACCTAGTATTTTCTTTTATCAGTTTTTAATTTTCAAGTGCATCACCAGATCAAATGATGTCTTGGTTTTGTGCCATGAGATAGGAAAAGCAGCTTTTATTGAACTTTCTTTGTATCACTCGTTACTTTATAAACTCCCTTAAGCAAATTTTTAATGTTTTCAGCATATCTTCACGTGAGAGTTTTTCATTCATGCTGCTTCTCTCTGAATCATTTTTCTGTCTGTAAAATCTTTTCTGAGACAATTTAACTGAAAATGTATAAAGCATTTCAGATAATAATGCAAAACTGATTTATTTAAAGGTTTGATACATTTTCCATTTCATATGAATTTGAACTTCCTGCTATCCAGTATCTTAGTTTCTTTAAAATGTAGCTACATATTAATCTGAGAATTCCACTGAGCTGTATCTGTGGTGATGATAATCTTCCTTCCTCGAGTCATTTAATTTTGACACTTTAAAGCTTAACTGTAGTTAACATTTCTCCCCAATGCGCAATCCTTTGCATTTATCAGATCTAGACTTTACTTGGTATCGTTACACATTTAGCTATACAGCGGTCGCCAGCTCACAATTTTTCAACACAGTGGCCACAAGAAATAAAAGCAGTAAACCGAAGCTTTGTTCAGCAAAATATGGTGTTTCCTGCATGTTACCTGCTCTGTAGTGTTTTTCATGAAAAAATGCATAAGGGATTGCTGCCCATCTTACAAGTTTAAAACTTTTTGAAGTCCCCCTCTTTACTACTCTAGTAACTATCACATGAAAAATCAGCTCTCACATTATTCACTTCTCTTTTGAGATTATTCATGACTATAATAAGCAATGCGGAGCCTGGAACAAAAAAATTCTGAGGCCTCCTGCTCTTAGCTTTCACCTAAGACTGTTTATCCAAGTCAATAGTTTGTATCTTGGCACATGACTTCCTAGCTTCTTTAATAAATCTCTTCTATGCAATGCTTTCAAAGTCTAAATTACATGTTTTATTATCTTCTAGTTTACAGAAACATTTAAATAACTCCAAGACACCAATAAGACAAGATTCCTTTTTCTGAGCATAAGCCAAGGAGACTATGCATGGTCATATTGTTAGAAGAGTTTCATTAATGTAAACACACTTGAAAAGGAAGTGTAACAACCGAACAGCCACACTTCAATATACATTGAGAAGACAAACCTCAAATATTCTTATTATAAATCCCACACTTGAATAAGAATTGTTCAGGCTGCACATAGATCTCAAACTATAGAACAGACATGTGTCTATGTGCTCAAGACATTATAGCTATGGAAGAGCTGCCATGTTTTTCTTATTTTAAGACAGTGGAACTTTTAACAAGTACTTTTACAAAAAAAGAATCCATTATTTGTACGCATTCTGTATAGATCGTATTCACAGTATTTTAATACAACAGAATACCTGTTTCTTGCACTGTTATTGGATATCTCCTGCATTTTATTTCTGGCTTGTGAATTTTAGTGAGGTCCAGCAATTGTGTAACTTGTGGCACATCTGTATTTAGCTGGCAGGTTCGAGGAATAACATCTGTGGACTCATACGGCATAAATGGAGCAACACACATACCTAGAATCAAAAAACATGGGCTTTCCTTCACTCAGATGACACAATGGAATTAAATTTGATTTACATTATTTGATAGTTAGATTACACATATTTTAGTTCATATGGTTATAACAACTTAATAGATTATGGTAATTTGAAAAATTTGCTGCAATTGTTCACTTCTAAGACACTAAGCATCTACATTTTAAGATGATATTGTGTATTTTTTACGCCAATAAGTCTGAATACATTTAAAGTAAAAAGTACGCACCAATGGCTGGAATAGCCATAGTAAATCAACTTTGATTTGGCAAGCAAACAAGCAAAACAATCTCAAAATATATTTTGTTAATTTTTACTACAACTCAGCTTTAATTCTAATACTGATATACTGATTTTCAGACAAACTGAACACCAGAAAATAGTACTGATATCAGCAGGACTGAAGTAGAAAACAGAGGAGTCTCATACATGCAAATAAAGAACCTGACAAACTTTAATTCCAAAATTTGGACACCATTACACTTTCATGATAAACCAAAAAGCTGTCAACCTATCTATTCTTGTGACACCAGGCACTAGTAGAATGGTATTTGCTTGTCTCTGCTTTCACTTTGATAACCAATATGGACTGAGTTTACTAAAGTTATTTTCTATGAAGAAAGGTATCCAGAGCCAGAACCATTCATGATGTTCTGATGCAAATTCATTCCAAATTTGAATATAGTAAGCTAGTGAGTATTAGCCTCTTTTCCAAGAATAAGAAGAGGAAAACATAACCCCAAACCCAAACAATGGATCAAGTATTGAGATCCTAATAGAAAAATTCAAGTGTCCCATGTTACACTTCAGTAGTGGACGTATTTACTTAACTAAGATAAATGCTAGCAAACATTTTTTCACCAAGCCAGTACATTATTTACTGCTGTAAGACAATATTTAGTGATAAAAAACCCTGTATGTAACCTCAGGATTACTGTGGAAACCAGAAACTATACATACTGTATATTTCAAGCTTGTATGTCTCAATATCATGGGGCAGAGATGATTTCTTTCCCATTCTATCTGAATGATCTCATACAGAAATAATTTCTTAGCATATGTGGTTTCTCCTTTCCAGTTGCTATCATTTTAAGTATGCAAAACATACTATACAGAAGCTACTAAGAAAGAATAACACACACACTGCACTGTGAAATCATTAATTCTACCACCAAGGAGGTTTAAGCAAAGAACTCGACCCTCATTACAAGTTGCAATGCCATTGCATTCAGTGGAGCTCAACTATCTGGTTCATTCATCTGAGAGGAGAAAAAATCTTTATCAAATCATGATTGTTAACTGAGAGTTAGTAACAAAAAACTACTATCATTTTTCTGTAATTGGGTATGAAGTATAGTGTTATTTTAACACAGCCAAACCTTGAGCTGTAACGTAATTTTAAGACTAGCCTAGATAAGAAAAATCATAAGCATACAGAAAATACTAATGACCACCAGCTGTATAATAATCATAGAATTGACAATCCAGTGATTAAAAGTGCAATATTTTACCACACATACAGTTTATTAAAGCTGTCTACTCATTACGTTAACTACATTTTAGAATTTTGGAACTCATTTTGAACATTTATGCACATTTCAAAAACTGTTTAGAATTGCAGAGAGAAAACAATGCACTGATGGAATAAAATTAAAATAAAGCCAGTGAGGCCTCTAACTGCAGCTTCTGCTGAGAATTTACCAAATTCTCTCTGTAGTAATTTTTTGAATTAATATTTTTTTTCCAACCTTACCACCAAAAAAAAAAGAGTAATCACATACTCTACCTAGTTATGGTTTTCCAAATGGAAGACATATTTTGTTACACATACAATACTGCTAACTACCCCTCCTTCAGCAACCAGAACCCTTTCTTCAGATGTGTTCTTTAAAAGTCACAAAATGAAAATTTGAACAAATTTGAAGCTGAACTATACCTAGGCTTCCCTGAAAATAAGAAAGTGCCAGCCATGCTTTCTCAATTCCTCCTCTGTTATTGCAAATATCAGGAAGGAACGAATTTCTCTCCTTTGGAAAATAATTATTCAGGATTATGATGCTAGTTTGGAGGCTGATAAACCTTTGACCAATATCTTGCTCTAGTACAAATACAATCTCTCATTTTTCAGCTCACCACCAGTATTACTTTCCCAAGGTCACACTAAGATAAATCGACTAAAGATCACAGAGAGGTGTTTATGATAGTTTCACAGCTCTGTTTCATATACTGTTTTGTTATAGTTTCGTCCTGGATTATTTAAAGAAGAAATCTTTTATTAGCTGCTAACATCCAAAATTAAGAAAGCAAACAGCAACCGGTGCTAAGTTCAGTATTTCTTTCTTTTCAGACACCCTCTTCTTGACCAAAACCTGATTTCTATCAGCATAAGATACTCTCATTAAAACAAGCTCTCTACTTGATAAGCCTTGCCAGAATTTCTTCAATAAAATACTTCCTAAGAAGTAAATGTTTAAAATAGAGGAGTACACATATGTTTGATTAGTTGCCTGAAGTGCAACTCTAGCAGAATTAATATGCTGTACTATCACTTTAATTTTCATGAAATCATATAAACTTTCACTTTATCAATCTTATGGCTAAGAAGCTTTTGATTTTATAATATGAACAGTTATGATTAAGACTACATAGTAATTACAACACACCATCTTCCTCAGCTGTATCTTGAGGCTTGGATTTTAAAGTGAAGATCTTTCTCAGTTTACAGTTAGCTGAAATAACAATTCCATCCAAAGACTGGAAGACAGCTCCTCTGAATATTTCACTGGCGAATGCTACCAAGTCAATACACATATTGCACCACTAGAAAAGAGAAACAATACTCTTTAATAAAACCCAAAAACTAATAACTGCAAAAGAGTATTAGCATATAGTTCTCTATTAATGAAGTCTCTGTGGAGTATTAGATTCTCACAGACAGTGATTCACAACGCATAACATTTTGATAATAAAATAGATATTACTGTTGTTCGCACTTACAACAATTATTTATACAAACAAATCAGTACATATGACCTAGCGACTGCCAGCCCAAGGGAGTTCTGTTACCTAGCATATCCATAATATGTTCTGCAACTATTCCTAACTTGTCAGAAAGTATATTTATTGAAGGTTTTCTTGGGGAAAAAAGAATTATTCAGTATTACTTCATAAGTTAAAGTTACTGCAGCTTAAGTGCTTCAAAGGCTATAGCAGGAGATTCTTTGATTATTTCTTTCTGACATGCATTAAAAAAGGACTTCTCCAAAGTTTGCACCTCTTCCACACTGAAAACTATCAGGTAAATTTCTAGTATGGACAAGTCCCCAGTGTATCATAAAACCTTAAAACTATGCCTCATTTATAATAAATGCTATCCATTCCTGGTAAGACATTTCCAAAAGACAAATCAGATAATGACAACTGCCTGAGTTGCTAAAGATCCTACTTAAATACATGCTTTAATTTTCATTAGATGATTATTCCATTTGTTTCAGGAAACACCTTTAGAATCCTAACATCAATGTGCTACACTCTCCTGCACTATTCTAGTGGCTCTTTAAATTCTCCCAGTTTCAATGTTTTTCCATTTAATTCAACACATATATATTGCTGTTTTTTCAATATAGAAATGAGTTGTTTCAGGTATCTGTTTTGCACATGGACCATATCAGACTTCCGTTATCCTCCTAGAAAAAACAGAAGTTTCATATAAAACAAGTAACACCACAAGCAGAACTACTAACAAAATGTTTTCTTGTGGCTTTATGTTTTCCGTTTAGAGTCTCTGATGTTTAAAAACAACTATGCTCATAGTTTTGGTGTTTCTGACAATTCTTCTCCTCACAGTTTCTGATACCTAGTGAGGGATGGGCAGATGCTAACACACCTTCTATAACCATGAAATAAACAGAGATGGCCTTGAGAAGAAATGCAACCATTTTTGTGAAATTTACAGAACTGTAATACATTTGATACAATTACTCCCATGTAAAATTTAGTTGACCAATGGTTTGAAGTTTTATTGGGGGAGAACACTACTAAGACATAACGATTGCACATGCCTCATTTCCTTATAAAGTCAAAGTACTAGTTTCTAAATACCAAATAGTAAATATCTTTTGAGAAAAGACTTAGGTGCATACATTACAATTCAGCTTCTAACTTTGAAATTCTGGAAAGAAGGGAAAACTTGTTTTAAAGACACCAAGCAATGGAATGGAAAATACAGTATTTAATTATAACTGATATTTCTATAGCTGAAGTTGAAAAATATCATGATTTGTAAGAACACAACACAGGAAGTTAGCAAGTGAAAATGTAAACGATTAAACAAACAACATATTTTATCCTTATTCACAACCAGTCATATTGACAATAATGATCAGATTGTGTATACAGTAAGGTAAACTATCAGAGCCACATAAAAGACCTATCTAATCACCGAAAGCAGCATACTCACTCCTTTACGTAAAAGCAACAATAAAGAGGCAGGTAATTATTTAAAAGATGACAGATATGCAGTCAGATATACTAAGAAATACAGACCTACTCTTTAAGGTTGGTCAAGCATTAAGGTTATAAAAATATTTTGTCATTATAACTGATCAGAGCATTTAGACAGATCTCTGATTAATGTCTTACGTATTTTAATTTAAATAATAACTGAAGTCCATATTCTGATTGGATTTAACTTGTGCATTAATGCATACTTTAATCCTGAAACATTTGTGCTAGCCTGACACCAAGATCGACTAACTGATAGCACACTGAAGAAAAAAATTTCACTGAATTAATGGTAACTTCAGGGGTATAATCTGATGCATGTTCATTTGAAAAAAATCCAACCAGTTCTTCCCACAAAGCAGAAAACTCCCGAAATCTACAATTATCATAGCTGCCTTCACCTAAACTACCTTACAAGAAGTCGTAACTTCAGAGGTTTTTGTAAAATATTCTCTCATGTCTAGCCTTAAATCCACATCTGCTTATTATACTGTTATCTAGTTCTCTTGGTGCATACTTCAAAATATTGGAAATCTAAATATTCTCATTTCCAAACTATTTTCTAAAGCAGTATTTGAGACTTGAGTCTTTACAAGGTCATATGGTAACCATCAGGTTTTGTATCCTGACAGCTGTTACTGTATGTAGTGGCTGGGCATGGGAGATAGGAACAGGGAGAAGATCATGGCTATTTTCATCAGTTTGACATATACATTGTTTTATATATACCAGAATCTTGGAAGAACCTGAAGCCCATGAAAGTAGCCATCAGCTACAGTCTACCTGAAGCTCCAGAGAAGGTCACTATAGGACAAGGTGCATATGAACAAGAGCACTATAATGAAGAAGTAGTAGGGACACAGAGAACTTTACAAAGGCTGAATAGACAGCAGAAGTGAGAGATAAACACATCACAAACAGCATTAATCTTGTAAAATAGGAATGAACTCCTAATTTTAGAAGGGTAGAAGAGTAGTGGTATTAAGTGGTTCTGACGCCATCTAGTAGACGGGACATTCATATGTATCTTGAGTTGGCTGGAACTGAATTCTAAACCAAACAGTAATTTCAACAGGTCTATAAACTTACATAAAACATTTCTGACAAAAAAAAAAGTGTGCTCAAGTGCCATTCAAGAAATATTCCCTTGATAAAAAGTACCTACTATTTTGCGCTTGATCATAAACAGAGGAATTTTTGCATGCAGAGGGGTTACAGACAACTCCTTGTGGACTGTTGATAAATACAATCTTCTTTTAATATTTCCTAAATCAGTTATCCTATAAAAGAAAAGGCAAGAGAGAATGGAACAGATCTTTGTCAATTCAATAAACCAGTATCTTTGGGCAATCACAAAAAAATATCCATATGCAAAACCTTTATGTCAGTGCTAGCAAATACGGAATTTAAGAATTACTTCTTTTACAAGATGAGTAATGAGATTTCTTTCTCAAATTCAAACTTTGTGGCTATATTCCTGCATATATAAAATCACTTTACATGCTAATTTTATTTCAACAGTCTACACTCCTTGCCAGATTTCCATAGCCCTTCAGACTATGAAAGAATTCAATTTGTATGAACTAAGAACCCAGTAGCCTTTAATAATCACACACTGTTTCTGCCCCTTAAGCTTGTGTTATCTTGGGACACACTGGCACCTGCTAACTAGAAAAACATTATTTCCTTTCTTTTCCTAAAAATGCCTCTGTCATTCTATACAGACTCTTTGCTGGTTTAAAGATAGACACAAGATATTGTCCATCTGTTTTACTTCCTGAGCACATATCTTCAAATGTGAATTATATAATACAGAAGTTTATTGCTCACTATTCAGGTCATCTCACAATGACACCAAGGACACTGAATCTTAACATTTCTAATAGATTCAGACCACAACCATGATCACAAAGATTATGTTTCCTTTAAACTGATAAAGAAGCTCATTTTTATGTTCTGTTTCCTTCAAATCTTGTGAACAGCTGTACTGGTTTTGGCTGGGATAGAGTTAAAATTCTTCAGAGTAGCTCGTACAGTGCTATGTTTTAGATTTGTGGCGAAAACAGTGTTGATAACACAGGGGTGTTAGCTATTGCTGGGCAGTGCTTACACAGCATCAAGGCCTTTCTGCTTCTCGCATGGCCCCGCAAGGCTGGGGGTGCACAACGAGCTGGGAGGGGACATGGCCGGGACAGCTGACCCCAGCTGACCAAAGGGATATCCCATACCATATGATGTTGTGCTCAGTGATAAAAACTGTGGGGAAGAAGGAGGAAGGGGCAAAGTTCAGAGTTACAGTGTTTGTCTTCCCAAGTAACTGTTACAAGCAACGAAGCCCTGCGTTCCTAGAGATGGCTGAACACCTTCCTGTCAATGGGAAGTAGCAGATGCCTCATTTAGCTTTGTGTTGTGGTTTAACCTAACAGCTGGCAACTAGTACCTGACAGCCGCTCACTCACCCCTCCCTTCTGCCCCAGTGGGATGAGGAGGAGAAATGGACAAAAGGTAAAACTCATGGGCTGATATAAAGACAGTTTAATAAGACAAAGGAAATACTAACAATGCTACTAATGAATAAGCAAAACAAACTATACACAAAACAATTTTATGACCACCCGATGACCGATTCTGTCAGTCCTCCAGCAGCGACTGCGGAACCCCGGACACAGATTTTTGTGAATTTCACAAAACTCCTGAGGAAGACTGAGCTCCCAGAAAGATTCAGACTCACAGACAAGAGAGGATTCAGACCCATGGAAACGAGAAAGAAATTCCTGCTCCCCAGCCAACCCCCATTCATAAACAGAGCATGACACCCATGTTATGGAATATTTCCATTGGCCAGCTTGGGCTGGCTGCCTGGCTGTGCTCCCTCCCAGCTCCTGCACATCTGCTCATTAGCTGAATATGGCAGACTGGAAAAAAGTCCTTGATTTCATAGCCACAGCTGAAGACATCAGTGTTATCAACATTCTTCTCATATTAAATCCAAAGCACAGCAGCTACTACTCTGTCCTAGCCAAAACCAGGACACCGTGGTGGCACATGCAGCTTTTGTTTTACCTATAAAACTGTCCATATTTCAACCCATGAGTTTTTGCACTTTTACCCTTGTGATTCTCTCCCCCTTTCCACTGCGGGGAGAGTGAGAGCAGCTGTGTGTGGCTTAACTGCCTACTGGGATTAAACCACAACAGCAGCACAACCTTGATACCCCCCAGCAGTCCCACCTTATTACACCAGAGAACAGACATTAAAGGCTGCAATCTGTACGGGGAAATAATGATTAATTTACCTATTATTTGTGAACAAGTGCATTTCTAACAGATGGGTATTTCTGTGTAATTAGCAGCCCCTCTGAGAAGATGACAAATAATTACAATAAACAACTTTCTGTCACTACTTAGTGTTGTTAAAAATAATTACTCATAATCATTATATTTAAATGCTGGGTTTTATTTAAAAATTGTGAGACTGCCCTGCAGATTTTTTTTTTTTTTTAATTACTGAAGACATTTTTTCATTAGTAAGGACTACCTGTAGCTTAACTAATGAAATGTCACCACCCAAAATTTGCAGACAAACACCCTGAAATATTCTTTGGCTTCCTTAGGTCAACTTTGAAAGAATTAACTCTGGAGTGTTACACACTTTAGCTATTTTTCGCAATTCAAGAGTTCAACCAAGGATATACTGCAAGTACATAAACACCCAAAGCTTCTACTAGTACGGGTGACAAAAAACACAGGAGCACCTTCTTGTTTCCCCATACTCATTAAGACCATCATGCAAAGCAAACAGAAAGTCCATCAGCTTTCCTCTCCCTTGTAGACAATCTGATCTTTAATCTATTCAACCTCATAACATAGGCAGGCAAATCAAAACAAAGTGGAGGAGTCTACTAGCTGTTTCATTTTCAAAGACTAGCAGTTCCTCTCATAAATCACATGCACTTCAAAGGCAGAAATTTTACTACTGTGTCAGGAGGAAGAACATTATATCCTCACCACTGCTACCATGTCACATAACAGTTTCAGTATCAGCTGCAAATGTATTTATTGATGGATGACTAATACCATGAAATCCTTGAAAACTGATTTCATCAAAAGGCCTCAAAGTGTCTTCCAATCCTAGCATTCTAGGCTTGATCTTACTTTTGAAGGAATTTAAGCAAGATGTGAAATAATTTACATCAGATCATCAGCAAGCTGGCCGCATAGCTAAGCCTGTGCCCCAGATCAAGGCTTATTTCTATCCATGACTTTGCTTCTCATATACCCTTCCATGAAAAACCTAGCAATGTAGTTTTCAGAAACTCTCCACTCTATTCCAAACTTCGATGTTCACAAGTGCTAAGAAATTGAGGCACCAAAGAACTTCAAAGAGTAGTGGTTTCTTGAAACTTCCCTAGATTTCCTGGTTATGTGTAGAGCTGAGCAACTGTGCTGAGGAATCAGGTAGCTGCAGTAACACGAGTGCTAAAACACAAACAAAAATGCTATTCTTGCTGAAACTCAAGCTGCATAATTCTCAAGGGAGATTGTTGCTTTAGCTGATGCTATGATAAAGCAGTACGAGCCTAGACTTAAATCATGCATATCTCCCAACAACTGGTAATAAAAACTTACGTTCACTTCATAATATTAGTTCACTAATTAGTTTTATCTTTCTCCCTCCTGAAAAATATTAGGTACCTTAGCAATAAAAAGGCCATGAGTAAATGTACAGCTCAGTTACATTCCAAAGTGCAATACTAAACACATTAATTTAGGTAAAAATATACACATTTATATCAGACTATCACACAAGTCTAAAATGTTTTTTGTAATGGTATGTATGCTGTAAAGAAGCAGCAAACCTTAGATATATAGTTATAATTGTACCTAAAGAAGTTGAAAATTTATTTCAGTAAATAAATTTAAAACAATTAAATATTTTATATTCTACAGGCACAAGTAGGTGAAGCATTTGAACAACAGGCAAAACTGAAGAAAGAACATGGTCTTAAAATTCTGTAAAATAATTTAGTTCATGGAAAAAGAACAGTAACTATTTGAGAGTTTGTGTAACTTTCAGACTTTTCAGTCACATTGCTCCCTGGAAGATAAAAATAAAACAGGGTTCTGATGAAACACTTTTCTGAAAGAATTCAGACAATGTGAGTTAGAACATTAGAACTCTCCTTTGTAAAATGACTCAAGAGTACTTGTGGTGAAACTTAAGCTTTTGGGTTTTTTTTGCTGTTATTAAAAAGCATGACCTATGTTAAACCTACTAAGGCAAGAAACATCTGCAGCATACATCTTGATTTTCAAAGATACATAAAAATCTATATAGGAGTTAATGTATTTTTATTATGTCAGTGCTTGAGTATTTATATCTAAGGGTCAGACATGTGATAGAAAAGTAATGAGACCATGTTGAGAAAAATGAGGTAGTCAACAAGAAAATCAACCTCATTTATAATAATATTCCTGTGATCAGCAGGTGCATAACTCTCCCAGCTATGGTCATTAACTGCATTCATTTCACACTTAACATCTACATTTGCAAACGATTTGAAAGTAAAATTACCTTCCAATTCAATTTTCAATTTTATTTTATATCTTCAACTTTGATTGACTATTCTCCTCACAATGGTAACTATAGTGAGATTGCAAGTAAATGGTAGCAACTACCCAAGACTACAGATAAACTCATCTTCTCAGATTACCTATTCACTTTGCTTCTGTATGCATAATAATTTATAACCATTTGTTAATGTTCAATTCAAGCCTTAAGATGAACTTCGAAAAAATGATCCTGGCCTGTTGAAGGGATGCTTCATTTATCAGGCTCACTTGTTCTTAAAAGGAAAGTGGTTTTCTCCTTATAAATGACTTAAATGGGAAGTTTACCAAACATGAAAGAAGATATTTCACTGATGTTGCTAAGCAAAGAGCAGCTCCCATACAATCTATTATTAATGGAAATCTCCTTGTATTATTCTCAAAGTCCAGATAGAATCCTCTGGTAAAGCTTAACTATTAGTACGTTTGTATTGTAGTGTCATTTTCTCCATGAAAAGTATGTACTACAGAAACATTAGATAATGTCATCATCACCATTTAAAAGATAGAAAACCAAAGGAATAGCAAAGGTCAGCTGATTTGCCATGCTTACAGATGCTTAAGCCTCCTTATTCAGGAGCAGTCTGCACTTCATTGGTATAACAATGGTAATTTATTGGTGTAATAACAACTCTGGTACATTACTGAACTGGCTGCCTGATCATGTGAAA